AATAACCTTGATTCTCACGCTACGTTTTAGTGTTGTTATGTCTAGCTGGACTCTGGAATCTGAAACAAAAAAAGCATTGTTGGTAAAACTTTCTGTCAGACCCAGCGCACCACCCACCCTCCAGTAGCCCCGTTACCGGCTCACACAATGGCAACATTGGAGAGGCCCCAACAGCTGATCCGGTGGGTCCGCGTTTCGCGCCGCCATTGCAACCACGGAGATGGGCACCCGGGATTCCTAGAGTGGCAGCTCCGTGTTTCGCACTGCTATTGCAACCACCGAGATGGGAAACCGGGATTCCTAGAGCGGCAGCTGATGAGCCCATGTGACTAGCTAGGATGGCTAGTAATTGATATACTTAGATGGCTAGTAACAACAGCACAGACGAAACGCGGTGAACGGAGGGGAGGCTTCTTCGTACTTATGTTTTTTGGACTTCCAAGTGTCGCTGGGTCTGTCATTAGTGGACGTTGGAGCAGAGGACTGGACGGTAAAGCAGAGTGTTGCCGGCTTTGTTCATTTCACTTCTATGTGTGGGGCGTGGACTGGGGCAGGAGAGCACAGCATTGTTAATTAAGTTATTGGTGGGGTGTGGGTTATCAACTGGGGTTGGGCTAGGCGAGGGTGGAGTATGGTCATGGGTGGTAATTGGGGTGTGTGCTCTGGGCGTGGTAGGTGGCTGTATTTAAGGCACTGGAAGGAGGTTACTTCCAGTGCTAACTTAATGTCAACACAGTGCATTAAACTTGTTGATTGTTCAATGTTCCTGTTTCTTGGCTTTTGTGAAGCACTACCAGGACGTTCTTGCAGTAAGTTAGATGGGCCTTATCCACCTGGCGCCATTTACTGGAGTGGGCACAACATCTCTTTGAAGTGTGGACAGACCACCAGAATCTAGCAGTTCTACAAACGCCTGGGCGGTTGTCTCCTAAACACGTGCGTTGGGTGCAATATTTCCAACGTTTCCGATTCCAACTTAAAGTCGTTCCAGGGGGGAGAAATTTCCTAGCGGATGCCCTCTCTCGCCTACCGCAATATGATAGTACGAGGGAGGAGGTGGTCCAGGCCATTATGCCCCCTTATAGCGTCGGAGATCTGCATGTAGATTCCTGCTCGAAAATGACATTGTTTGAGGATGAGGTGAGAACAGCTTTATTACAAGATCCTTGGTTGTTGAATAATCCCGGGTTACTTACAAACCGGAATGGTTTAGCATGGTATGGCAATAGACTATATATTCCCCAGGGATTACGAGATTGCGTTTATCACCGTTGTCATGATGCTAAATTAGCCGGCCATTTCGGTTTCCTGAAGACGTTACACCTAGCCAGACGTCAATTTTGGTGGCCTGGAATGAGAAGAGACATTGAAACTTATGTGAAGGGCTGTCACATCTGTGCACAATCAAAGGTAGTACCCAAAAAACCAGTGGGACTGTTACAACCAGTATCTGATCCAAATCAGCCATGGCAGGACATTGGAATGGATTTTATAGTTGACTTACCGGAGGTACAGGGTTATACCATTATATGGACAGTGGTTGACTTGTTTTCAAAACAAGCCCATTTCATACCCTGTAAGGGATTGCCGTTGGCAAGAAGACTGGCCAGAATGTTTTTAACACATATTTATCGTTTGCATGGGGCACCTCGTCAAATTATTTCGGACCGTGGCATACAATTTACGGCTCAATTCTGGCGTCAGTTCCTTCGATTCATTGGTACTGCTCAAGGTCTCAGCTCTGCGTATCATCCCAGTACCAACGGGGCAGTGGAGTGGGCCAATGCTGCTGTCGAGCGATATCTGAGGAGCTACGTATCCTATCAACAGTCGAATTGGGTGGAATTGGTGCCATTAGCGGAAGTCGCATATAATAACGCAGTACATAAGAGCACCGGCCTCACACCATTTCAGGTGGTGTATGGACGCGACTTTGTCCCGATGCCAGAGTGTGGGTCCCAGGAATCCCAGCCTCGTCACCCCAATGAATGGTTTAACCACGTAGGTGAGGTATGGGGTACAGTGAAAAAGGCCCTGATAAAAGCAGAACAAGCAACTAAACACCAGGCGGATAAAACTCGTAGCTTACAGGTTCAGTTTTGGGTGGGGGATCTAGTGTATTTATCGACTAAATATATAAAGTTGCAGGTGCCGTGCAAAAAACTAGCACCAAAGTACATCGGACCCTTCCGCATAGTCCAGATTATTAATCCGGTGACGGTGAAGCTTCATTTACCGAGTTTGCATGATAAGGTGCATCCAGTCTTTCACGTAAGCTTGTTGAAACCTGTAAGGGAGAAACCCCAAGAACAAACCCCAGGGCCCATCACCCCAGGGCGGTATGAAGTACAAGATATCCTGGATTCGCAGGTGAAGGGGGGTAAACTTTATTATCTAATCTTATGGAAGGGATATCCCCGGTCCGATGCCTCCTGGGTGTGGAAGGGGGATGTCTTTGCTCCCGACCTGATTCGTAGATACCATAGGAAATTTCCACGCAAACCTGGGGAGGGGCCGAATAACTCTTCATGTGCATGACAAAAGGCCTTACTCATCTTAGTATGCTTTCTTCCAGGGGGACATGTGGTGAGGGGGGCCGAATATCAGACCCAGCGCACCACCCACCCTCCAGTGGCCCCGTTACCGGCTCACACAATGGCAACATTGGAGAGGCCCCAACAGCTGATCCGGCGGGTCCGCGTTTCGCGCCGCCATTGCAACCACCGAGATGGGCAACCGGGATTCCTAGAGCAGCAGCTCCGTGTTTCGCACTGCTATTGCAACCACCGAGATGGGAAACCGGGATTCCTAGAGCGGCAGCTGATGAGCCCATGTGACCAGCTAGGATGGCTAGTAATTGATATACTTAGATGACTAGTAACAACAGCACGGACGAAACGTGGCGAACGGAGGGGAGGCTGCATCGTACTTATGTTTATTGGACTTCCAAGTGTCGCTGGGTCTGTCATTAGTGGACGTTGGAGCAGAGGACTGGACGGTAAAGCAGAGTGTTTCCGGCTTTGTTCATTTCACTTCTATGTGTGGGGCGTGGACTGGGGCAGGAGAGCGCAGCATTGTTAATTAGGTTATTGGTGGGGTGTGGGTTATCAACTGGGGTTGGGCTAGGCGAGGGTGGAGTATGGTCACGGGTGGTAATTGGGGGGTGCGCTCTGGGCGTGGTAGGTGGCTGTATTTAAGGCACTGGAAGCAGGTTCACTGGAAGTTAGCTTCCAGTGCTAACTTTATGTCAACACAGTGCATTAAACTTGTTGACTGTTCAACATTCCTGTTTCTTGGCTTTTGTGAAGCACTACCAGGACGTTCTTACACTTTCATCTTAATTACAGAGATTCTACCTGTTGTGTCCTGAGCCTGCTGAAGCATTCAGCAGGCTCAGCAATGTTGCAAATGGTCCCGGGCAGACCAAAAGCTGCCTGGGACCAGACTGGCTGTCGCCAGCCTTGCACGCATGCGCAAGGCACGAAAACAGCCAGCTTCCTATGGCTGACACTGTCTGGGTTCAGGACTCTATAAATGGCCTGCGTGCCATTTTGCTGTTGCTGGTTGTAAGAAGAGATCAATAAAGAAGCTTGTTTGTTCACCATGTGTCTTTGCTTAATACCTCAACCTTGCAAACATAAAACAAACCGATAGTGATTGTTGCAATTTCCCCATCTACAAATGTCCCATTATTAAGGAAGGGCAAAGAACTGCATTTCAGGGCTCTGGATTGGAAGGGACCTTGGAGGTCTTCTAGTCCAACCCCCTGCTCAGGCAGGAAACCCTATATTGGGGTCCCCAGTCCCTGGACTGTGGCCTACTATTGGGCTGTGGCCTATTCGCAACCGAGCCACGTGAGCAGCCAGCCATTGTGTGTGTGCAGCTTGCGCAAGTGGGCTTGCATGCATGGGCATATACAGGTCAACTTACAATCAAGCTGTATGTGCCAGCCCGCTACTTGTACAAGTCAAGCTGCATGCATGTAGCCCTGTTTTCCCCTCCCCCCAAGCTTCCCTATACCATTTCAGACAAATAATTGTCCAATCGGGAGGCAGATTGTTCCACTGGTTAATTGTTCTAATTGTCAAGAAGTTTCTCCTTAGTTGTAGGTTGCTTCTCTCCTTGGTTAGTTTCCATCCGTTGCTTCTTGTCCTGCCCTAAGGCACTTTGGAGAATAGCTTGACTCCCTTTTCTTTGTGGCAGCCCCTGAGATATTGGAACACTGCTATGACGGCGATTTTAGACAATTTTAGTTGAACTGATCTGCCTCTGACCAGCAGAAGCAAAAATACCAAATTACAACTCAAATGGCAAAATCCACTCGGCATTAAACCTTGTTGAGGCTGTTGTCATCTCAAAATCTGTGTAAAGTCATTTTTCTGTGTCAGGGAACGTGGTGCCCAGAAGCTCACTCAGATTACAGTGTGCCTCTGAAAGCCATAATTAAGGAATACAGATAAATGAACCTCCTCATTTAATCTGTGGGGTGATCATAAAGTAAACTCAACCGATCTTGGATGATGTAACCCTCAAGAGAAAGACTTTTGAAAGAGATCTGTTTGTTCAGAACTTGTTGGTCCAGTTAAATAGTGAATAAAAAAAATGATCGGTTGACCGATCATACCTGTTGAAATGGTATAAGAGAAGGCATCGTGGTGTACGTGTCACCTATTGTTAAAAGAACTAAGGGCAATATAGAGCTCACGGACCAAGAAGAAAGCAAATTAAGCTTTAAGACAATTTTCTTTGGCCAGATAGGGGAAAAGAAATCCCATCTCTGATCTCAGGACCTTTCCACCATGGAAACGATATTGGGCCAAACCCTGTGGATGTTGGTATTTTACTTTTGCATTTCAATCACGTTGTTATTCCTCGGGTGGATCCTTTACTTTAATATCATCGGCATGCATATCCCGCCAGGAATCAGCCAGGGGAGAAAACTGCGCCTTCTCTATTTGTTTGTAAGAATTCTTTTCGCACTGGTAAGTCTCTGCCTTTGGACTCTAGCTTTGCTTTCAGTTGGTTTGCCTGAATGGCACAGTCCTACACTTGGTGTACCTGAGGATGCACAAGCAAGCTCAGAGAGCACCAAGGACCCCTCCTTTCAACCCTGAGCTCCAAATATTCTCTTTTATTAGAACTCACTCTGGATAGCATCTAAACCAGTGGTTCTCAACGTTTGTGTGACGGCGACCCCCATCACACAAACGTGCCGTGCATGCGCAGCGCGCATGCGCGGTGGCGCCCCATGCGCTGTGCGGCGGCGCCCCCATGCGCGGTGCGCATGCACGGCGGCGCCCCCTGAGGGGGGAAAATGGCAGATCGCCTTCTTTGGTGACCCCCGTAAAATGGACGATCGACCCCAAATGGGGTCGCGACCCATAGGTTGAGAACCGCTGATCTAAACAGATCCTTTGTGTGTTATTCTTTGGTTTCTTTCTTGTCTTTCCCCTGTGCAGGCCAGGATTCTGGATAAACTTGGCATCTGCCATGAATTTTTCATATGGAGGCTCCTTTGGAATGGAATACATCCCAGGAAACCATCTGACTTGATTGTCAAGGAAATGCTTTTTGACAGAGTGCCGGTGATGGTCTGTTGTCCCAAAAGAGCAAGTCCAGAGAACAGACGAGGACTTGTCTGGATCCACGGAGGAGCAGGCTTGTTTGGAAGCCCCCGTAGGTTTTCCAAATAATTGTTTGATTGATATGAAAGAAGGACGGACAAATGTTTGGCTTAAGGCAGTGATGGCGAACCTATGGCACGCGTGCCAGAGGCGGCACTTAGCGCCCTCTCTGTGGCACACTTGCCGCCATCGTCAGCTTGCATAGGTCCATTAGGCCGCCGCTGGCACCCAGAGCGGCAACCCCACCCAGCACAAAGGAGGTGAAGCAGCTGGCTAGCAAGCTCAAGTAGAGGTGGTAGAGCACGCCCCCATGCGTCGCTGGCCTGTGTGCGGGGGCTGATGGTATCAGGCAGCAGCCGCCCCTGTCTCGCCTTGCCCTGCAGCAATGGCACCCCCGCCCTACCCCTGCCTCACCCCTCAGGACGAACCTCCTGCCAACGCCACATCCACCAGAGACCCCCTGGATCTCCCCCAATTCTGCCAGCCCCCACAGGCATCCCCCCACAAGCAACATCAAAATGGCCACACCCACCCCAGCCATGCCCACTCAATCTGCCATGACCACAGCAACCACACCCACCCAGTGGGCTACGCCTACCCCCAATGCGGCCTTGGCACTTTGTGATGAATAAGTCGGTTTTGGATTGTGGTTTGGGCACTCGGTCTCTAAAGGGTTCGCCATCCCTGGCCTAAGGGGTACCCTGATTCTTCTGCAGCATGCCAAGGACCAAAGGGGAAAAATGCATGTGCTCAGATAAAAACATACAAGTTAGGGGTGGGAGAAATGGGACATTCTCATCTGAACATCAATTCAAACAATTCTTTGTGATATTTCAGGATCCCACGAAAGGCTGTGCCACTTCATTGCCCGGCAAAGTGACACTGTGATCGCATGCATCGGGTAAGTGAGCTCAAGCTGACTTGTGTCACAGAAGGCACAAAAGCCAACTGCCATAACCTCTCTCTCTCTCTAGACCAGAGGTTCTCAAAGGGGTCGCCTAAGACCATCGGAAAACACATATTTCCGATGGTCATAGGAACCTAGACACCGCTCCTCTATCCATCTCCGCACAGCTTCGAACTGGGGGCCGTTGCAGTGCCAGATTCGTTTCTGTCGAGCATCTCCTAAGGGAGGCTGCGCTGCTTCGCGGCCTTTTCTGTGGAGGAAGCTGAATTAAGCTCTGCCAGTGCTGTCACCCTCTTGGCTCTCTCTCTCTCGCTCTCTCTCTCGCTCTCTCTCCCCGTCTGGGCGCTTTTCCAACCAGGCTGGGCGAAGTCTAGTCCTAGACTTAGAACAGTTCATTTAGTGACTGTCCAAAGTTACAATATTTAAGAACACAGCCCCAAACCTCTTATGCAAACAGAATGCATCCTGTCAGTTGTAGGACAAATAACATGAGCAAGCATTTTATTTCCTCCCTGGATACAATTCCTGCAGCTGCAGTAAAAAAAGCAAAAATAGAAAAAAAAAAAAAAGAGAATGTGCATTTCATTAATGGAGAACAAAGCAACTGGGAGTAACTCAGACTTAAGAGGAAAATACTGTAATAGGCTCAAAATAAATAAAAATAAAAATATAGTTGAGACTGAGCGAAGCAAACTGCCAGAAAGTGGATTTTACTACAGAAGCCAGACAGAGAAGTGATTCAGCAATGACTTCTGGACTAGCTAGTAAAAATCACCTAAATGCATGGTACAATTTATACTCTTTTTCCTATTTTAAGTTTTGATGAGATTTATAAGAAGTTTGTTCTTCTTAATTTCCTAGCTTGGTTTTTTTCCCTTTCAGCAGGATTGATTAATCCTATGACCCAGGGAAGGAAATAACTTGTTGATGAGGTTTTTGTGTATCTAGGTTAATCTTGTTGTAGGCGCTGGTGTGTCTGGGGTTAATCCTGTTATTGGTTTCTATGTGTATATAGGGCAGTGGTGGCGAACCTATGGCACGGGTGCCAGAGGCGGCACACAGAGCCCTCTCTGTGGGCATGCGTTCTATCGCCCGAGTCCTAGGCCTTCAGCTGGGTTTTATAAAACCTTTTCGCTTTAGGCCTCTGCTGCCATGTGCAAAAAAAAAAAAGGTTCAGTCAATTTCAGCTTCTTGCAGGAAAAAAAAAGATCTTGCAAAGTTGGAATTGCTTGATTGAACTTTTTAGTCCCACCCAGTCTTCCGTTACCACCGCAGCCACACCCACCCAATGGGCCACACCCACCCGGCACTCAACAATGGATAAGTGGGTTTTGGGTTGCAGTTTGGGCACTCGGTCTCTAAAAGGTTCGCCATCACTGAGATAGGGCAAACCTGTCAGCTTTCTTTTGGTTTGTTCAAGGCTAGTGCTTATCACAGGTGGGGGAGGAAGAGAGAGGAGAGGAGAGGGGAGAGAGAAAGAGAGAGAGAGAGAGGAGAGAGAGGGAGGGAAGGAGAGAGAGAGAGAGAGAGAGAGAGACTCTTCTCTGGTACTTTTGTTTTTTGGCTTGACTTTTCTAAGAGAGGGAAATGGATGTTTCTTTTGGAGCAGCCTTTCGTATTTGTAATAGTTGGTTTCTGGGCCTAGGCTTTCTACCTCTTTTCCTATTGTTCCTGCCTGTTTAATATTTCCCAAAGGTATTTCTTTTTCATGGGTATCTAGATGCTAACTTCTAATTATTGATTGAATCAATGATCCATCACAGCCATGGAGCAAGTTTCAGATTAACTCTGGAGTTCAGAGATCTCAAACCAGGAGTGGGGAACCTTGGCTCTTTGATGACTCGTGGACTTCAACTCCCAGAATTCCTGAGCCAGCCTGGCTCAGCTTGGAAACCTCTCCCTTTCCCCTCAGCATGGCTGCCTCAGGAATTCTGGGAGTTGAAGTCCACCAGTCATAAAAGAGCCCAGGTTGCCCTCCCCTGTCTTAAACGGTTGCTCCGCGGGGATTGCATCCCACGAGGGAAGCCGAGCGAGGGATTTCCTTTGGAAACAGGCCTTTGTAAGTCTAATCAGACAGGCTAAAGCTGACAGCTGCTCTTTACTAAACTCCCCCCCCCCAAAAGCAACGTTGCAAAAAGAGAAACCAGTGAAGGAGCCAAACTTTTTCCTTCAACCTTCTCCAGAGGAAAGAGGAATGCAACATCCGCCAGGTGTTTTTTCTCCAAATTGGCACCCAAAGCAAAGGGAAAAAACAGCTGCGGAGTTTTGAAAAACTGCCAGGGCTGCTACAACCCTACCCAGAACAAAGCGTCCCGTGCAGCCCAGCCTCATCCTGCACAGACGCCATGACGCCCGCACACTTACTTGTCCAAGATGAAGTACAGATTGAAGACCCGTAGCAGGCGGCGCCCCTCTCCTCTTGCTGCCTCCCTCGCCCATCCCAGGGGACCATCAGGGTGTTCAGAAAGGAGGGGAAAAGGCTGTCTGGAGGTGGGGTTTTGGGGTTTTTTTTTTCACATTTCCCTTCTGCTCAGCTTTCTCTCTGATCCGTTTTCAGGGCACCTCTGCCTTGCGCTTCCAGCACAGCACAGCCACTGTCAGCCAGACAATTGGCTATTTCCGGTTCCTGTTGCTTTGCTTTGCCCCAGATTTGAGGAACATGGAAGCCTCCTCCCTCCTCCTGGCCCCCTCCCCGCAAAGGAAAGAGCCAAAATCCAGGGCTGATCTTGGCGCTTCTGCTGAGCCCTGACAGCCCTGCAGCTCCAGCCGTCTCTCGTTCAGGCTTGTGCAGTGCTGCCGCCGGTTCAGCTCATTCCCCTCCCCCCACTACCACTTCTAGGATGGTCCCGTACCACCTGCCACAGGTGGTACGCGTTTCACCAGCTGAAAAGCCCTGTGCTGAAATACTGACAGCCATAAGGAACTAACAAGGATGCCGCGGGTTACTTCAGAGTAGTTTACAGAATTACAGCTAGTCTTTGACTTACAATCACAACTGAGCCCAAAATTTCTGTTGTTTTGTGAGACAGTTAAGTGCCCTATTTTATGTCTTAACATAAAATGCCACAGTTGTTAAGTGAATCACTGCAATTTTGTTATGTTAGCAACGCAGTTGTTAACTGAATCCCACTGACTTTGCTTGTCAGAAGGTCACAAAAGGGGATCACATGAGCCTGAGACACTGCAGCTGTCATAAATATCAGTTCCCAGGTGCCCTAATTTTGATCATGTGACCACAGGGATGCTGCAACGGTCATGTGAAAAACGGTCCTAAGTCACTTTTTTCAGTGATGTTGTAATTTTGAACAGTTATTAAATGAACTGTTGTAAGTTGAGGACTGCCTCTATTGGTTGTTGCATGCTGCCCAGTCTTTTTGGGGTGGGGCAGCTATAATTTATTCATCTTCAGAATAGGAATGCCAGTGTATTTCTAAGATTGTATTTTGACTGACTGTTGCTTCAGATACCCCTTGGCGCCAGAGCACCCCTATCCAGCTCAACAACTCAGCTGCTACACTGCCGTATCACATTTTCTGAAGAATGCGCAGGACTACGGGGTGGACCCGAAACGGATCGTGCTGGCTGGCGACAGCAGCGGAGGCACACTTGTTGCCAGCACTGCTCAGCAACTTCTGATGACAAAGGACCTGCCACAGCCCCAGGCCCACATACTAATCAATCCTTACCTACAATGCCTGGATGTAAATTTACCTTCTTACCAGCAAAACCAGTCCATTCCCCCCTTAGTCAAGAAAGAGGCTGTTCGTCTTGGCACAATGTATCTCTCAGGAACCAGTGCTGGGGTCAATGAAATTATGGCCAATGCCCATGTCCCGCAGGAACTCATGGCAAAGTATCAGAAATGGATCAGTGCAGAACATATTCCGGAGGAATTTAAAGGCCGGGGTTACGTGCCGTTTGTACCTGGTCCATTTTCAGAAGATCTTTTCCAAAAATACAAAACAGTTTTCGACCCCATATTTTCCCCACTCCTGGCAGAAGACGCCGTCATCCAGCAGTTTCCAGAGACTTTCCTTTTAACCTGCGAATATGACATTTTCCGAGATGATGGCTTGCTCTATAAGAAGAGGCTGGAAGACAATGGTGTCCCTGTCACCTGGCTTCACCTCAAGGACGGATTCCATGGCATCACCTTGCTGATAGATATGGGGTCAATCCAGTTTCCAAGTACGAGGAAGAGTATGAATAGTGTAATCCAATTCCTAGAACGATTCTAGAAATCAAACAACCTCGTTCCTCTTCCTTGTTCATCTAGCCCTTACCTTACAGATCTGGATCTGAAGAGGTTATACCCTATAATTTCATTCATCTGTCCTGCTTAACTGACCTGAAGATGGTCCACCAACCCTTTGAAGAGACACATCCTTGCCCTCTCCAGCTCGTTCATAGCCCACCACTCAGGTAGCCTGGTGTCAGGCTGTGCAGGAAACTGTGGTTTTCCCTCTTACTCAAAAAACAGAATTTCCCATATGACAATCTAAGTGGCACAGAGGAACAGTTGGGTGAGTGGCCAGACGTCTAACTTTTGCGCTCTCCTTCTCCCTATAGTCAGGACAGTGGTTCTTTGGAATATCAAACTGTTGTGGAAAAAACCACGATACTTACATCAGAAGACAAGACCACGAAGGGTTGGAGAAAACAGGCTTTATTTGTGCACAATGGTTCAGAGCATTCACATGACAAATTCTGAACCCTGAGCTATTCTCAGGGAGTAGTTCTTATAGCATTAACCACCCACGCCTTAGCCTTAGGGTGGCTCTTATCTACCTTTGACACACTAAAACAGAGAAGTTTATATCTTGAAGCTACATAAGTAAAAGGAGAAGTTCACACAAACGGTTGTCTTACCACACCTTTCTGCACGGGTGCTATCTTACAACATCTGTGACTTTTAGTTGACACTGACACTTCTTGTAAAATGGTTTCTACATAGCATGAACACATCTCTATAATTATGACACACAGATTATATGATTTAGGTTACATTGCACAGCCAAACTTAATATTATCTATTAACTATTATCAGCAACAAGCATTTCTATTAAGATATAGATATATTTTGATGAACTTTGCCTGCCCACCTCAAAACTTATGGAGAATGTTGAACATGACAGCACAAGGAAACAAAAGCCCATCACCAGCCATCAACATCCCAATGAACCAATAGGAAGGCATCACATAATTGCGACTCACAGAATAGCCCAAAGTGCATATAGGTAGTCCTTGACTAACGATAACAATTGAGCCCAAAATTTCTGTTGCTAAGTGAAACATTTGCTAAGTGAATTTGCCTCATTTTACGACCTTTCTTGTCACAGCTGCTAAGTGAATCACTATAGTTGTTAAATTAGTAACACGGTTGTTAAGTGAATCTGACTTCCCCATTGACAGAAGGCAGCAAAAAGTAATTACATGACCCCAGGACACTGCAACCATCATAAATATGAGTCAGTTGCCAAGTTTCGGAATTTTGATCATGTGACTCTGGGGATACTGCAGCGGTCTTAAGTGTGAAAAACGGTTATAATCACTTTTTTCAGTGCCGCTGTAACTTTGAACAGTCACTAAACGAAGTGTTGTAAGTCAAGGACTACCTGTATTCCAGTAAAGAGAGGTTTCATGAGGATGGGCTCGGCAAGGGTTTGAATGCTCAGAACAGTAAACCTCTGGTCCTGGTGACCGACCCAGATTGGATCTTGCAACGTTATCCTGGGAGATGTATATGTGCCTTCATTTGTCATGGAAAACCCAGTGCAGCTCTTTCAGGAGACCATTATTCCCACAGGCAGACCAAAAAATGAACGAAAAAAGGGAATCAGCCCCCAAAAGCTCTGGAGGCCTATTGTGCTAGCCTCCCCCTCACCCATTGGCATAGGTTCTGTTTCCTAACAGGACCTTGCCTTGAACCGTGCCTTCCTCTCCTCTGTCTCTGAAGAGGCGTTTCTCTCCAAGAAGACTGATGCAGTAAGATCTTAAGGGACCTCTCCTTGTTGACGCTTCCATCTCGACTCTTCCTGTATCCGCTTTCCTTGCTCCCCCTTTGCTTTAGCTGCAGGTGGTCCCCGGTTGCTGAGCTTCTAGAATAGTGACAACTGACTTCATGTAAACCTTTTGAGCTTCAGTAAAGACTCAAGCAACAAATCCCAGTCTGTTTCATTTCTATTTCATTTCAGATTCATTTCTGCCCACCGCAAAGGGCAAGGAGAGAAAAGGGGAAGGTGGCGCAGAGGTGTTGTAAATGGCATGGCTATGTTGACAGAATGGGGTATGTGGGTCCGTGTCTGTGTGTGTGTTGGAAGGGCACGAACTAGCAAGCCCCTTTGGTGGGCAGAAGATTGTCAGTCCCTCATGAAACGGTGTGTGTGTTTGTGTGTCCCTGTCCGCAGCTCCTCTGCGATCAGGGACTGCAGGGGAAAAAGTCAGGGAATTGCACAGCCGGTGTCCAAATGGAGGCAGAGATGCTGACACAAACATATAGTTTTATATAAATAAACATATTAATAGTAAATAAGATAATCAGGCAAACAGCAGCATATCAGGTAAATCAACGTATTATGAGGTAAATTATAGAGGGCACTCAGAGGAAAAAAGGCGGGAAACAAAGAACCTCCCCCTTTTCACTCAAGGTAACCAATCAAAGCTTAGATTGCCTCATACAGTAGCCAGCCCTCTTCAACCAATCAGCTATAACTGTGTGTTCTGATTCATTGTCCAACCCTTCACTGCTCCTGCTATTAAATTAAATATCTTAAAAAAGAAGAGGAAAATGTGGAGAGGAAAGATGAACCAAGCCCCAGATTCGTCCTCAACCTGAATTAGGCAAAACAGCAACTGCCTCATCGGACAAGCCAGAATGGGTCTGTGAAAACCCAGGTAGTCCTCGACTTACAAATGCAATTGAGCCCAAAATTTCTGTTGCTCAGTTAGACAGTTGTTAAGTGAATTTTGCCCCATTTTACAACCTCTCTTGCTGTGTTTGTTAAATGAATCACTGCAGTTGTTAAGTTAGTAACACCGTTGTGAATCTAGTTTCCTCATTGACTTTGCTTGTCAGAAGTTCACAAGAGGTAATCACATGATTCCGGCACACTGCAACTGTCATAAATATGAACCATCCAAAGAAATATCTTGTCTAGTTTAATGAAGAGAAGGACTAGGTGTCACATGATAGCAGTGTTCCAATATTTCAGGGGTTTCCAGAGAGAAGAGGAAGTCAGTCTATTCTCCAAAGCACCAGAAGGCTGGACAAGAAACCATGGATGGAAACTAATCAAGGAGAGAAGCAACCTGGAACTAAGGAGAAACTTCCTGACAGTTAGAACAATTAATCAGTGGAACAACCTGCCTCCAGAAGCTGTGAATGCTCCAACACTGGAAGTTTTTAAGAAGAGACTGGACAGCCATTTATCTGAAATGGTATAAGGCAAAGGTCCCCAATCTTTTGGGCACCAGGGACTGGTTCCATGGAGAGAGGTTTTTCCATGGACTGGAGGGTGTGTGGTTTTGTGTGCTGCCTGCATCCCATGGATGGGCCGTTGCTTGTTTGTGTGGCCCAGTTGCTGGCATGCTGCAGCCTGGTACCGGTCCACAGACCGGGGGTTGGGGACCCCATATATAGGTTTGCTGCCTGAGCAGAGAGTTGGACTAGAAGACCTCCAAGGTCCCTTCCAACATTATCATTATCATCAGCAGCATCCAAATTTTGATCACATGACTGCGGGGATGACGTTATAACTTCAAACAGTCACTGAATGAACTGTTGTAGCTTGAGGACTACCTGCACTTGACTTTGCAGAAGAGTTTCCTTTAAGCCAAGCAGCCTTTCTCTCCTGGAATTCCCTAAAGTTGTTTTTAAGAGGGACAACAGGATGGCACCAGGAGGAGGAGACTTTGCCCCATGGTGGGGGGAAAGGGCCACTCCCAAAGGTTTCATGTAGAGCAAGGGTGTCAAACTCAATTTCATTGAGGGCCTCATCAGCATTATGGTTGCCCTCAAAGGGCCAGTTGCTGACTCCTTCTCTCCCTCAGGCTTCCTCCACAGAAGCCTCACTTATGCCATCCCCTTCTCTCCTTCAGGCTTGTCCCACCGACATCTCTCCTCCCTATTGCCTTCTCTGCTCTCTCACTCCTCCTTTCTACCCAAACCCCTCCTTTTTATATTCTCCTCTCCCCCATGCGTTCACTCACTGCCTGGCTGGCTTTTTCACACAGCACTCATTGACTGGAGCTGCATGTGCTGATTCTGGGGTCCCTGCCAAGCCACGGCAGCCTCACAGCTCCAGCTGACTCTTCCCCTGAAGACTGCGTGCAGCTGCCAGCCACCCCGAGGCAGTTGGAAGCCCCAATCAGCTGGAGCCACACGGGCCGATCCCAGGGCTTCAGCAGAGCCCCAGCAACACTGCAGCTCCAGCTGATTCTCCCCGGGCCTCTCTGGTGCTGCTGCAGCTTCAGCTCACCCCCCTCCCACTACATACTCTATTCAGACTGTGAGTTAAAAACGCCTTCTTTAAATCAAGTCAGATAGATAACTCAGTAGAAATGGTTTCATAACAAAAAGAAATATATTTTGATCAGAAAGATTACAAAGATTACTTGCATTCATGCTGTGTTGTTACTTCTGGAAATTACATCTTTTGTTGATTCCTACAGGTAAAAGGATGATGCTCTCTTCCATACCATCTTTATAACTGCGCAGGCTCATTGGGTGACATCTGATAGCCCATGCTTCTTTCAGACAAAGACATTCCAATCTGACTTGTGTCCAGGAAGTCTCCCAATGCCCTTTAGAAACTCCTTCCACTGACATACTGATACATGCTCTCTAGTTAGGGTTACATAGAGCTATATGAGGTTACATAGATCTATATGGTTCAGAATACTCCCGGCTTGGAAATTTATATTTCCACTACTAACTAGCTGAAATAGCAAAAAACATAGCATTAAGGCAGTGGTAGTCAACCTGGTCCCTACTTCCCACTAGTGGGCATTCCAGCTTTCCTGGTGGGCGGTAGGGGTTCAATCGAGCCGTTTAAATTTTCGGAACCATCGAGCCCTCCGATCGGCTCACAGAGCTTTCCAGAAGGCGCGGGGTGTTAGCCTCAGCTGTGGAATCCCGCACGGAGCTCTCGGAGGCCAGAGAGCCTCGCCGAGGCGCGCCGTTGTTGCGAGGCTCCAGTCGACTTCCTCGACGATCCGTATCACAACAGAGGCTGCGCAACAAGATAAAACCGCAAGTGCCTCATTTTTGGCTCCGGGGGGTGGAAATTAAAGGCACAACAAACAACAAGCTTCCCCTCAGGGCCCCTCAAGGCTGGGAAGGCCTGGCCAAAATACAAGCGGCTGCTAATTTTGGCGCGGCTGCCATTTTGAGAGCCACACAGAGCCCTCAGTCATAGAGGTTTCAGGCATCTCTGACAAGAACCAGGCTCTCTCTTCATCCTACTGTGACAGGCACTGATCGGGGCAAACCAAACTCCACTGAGCATTCCCTCAAGACCAAGGTAGAGGCCATGTCTCAAAAAAAGAAATACGCTTGTGGCTATTTGCCAGTGTATCTGAAGATGGGTTTCATAGAATCTGTTGTAAATAAACAACACCCAATGTATTTATGTGTCATAAAACATTATCCAATGAGGCAATGAAGCCAAGTCGATTGCGAGAACATCTTTCTACAAAGCATCCAAATGATAAGGACAAGCCCATTGAATATTTTCAGGAAATATATAAAAATTTCAAAATCGTTCAACAATCGTTGCATCATTTAAGAAACACTCTGCAGCGAACGAAGATGGATTAATTTGCGCTTATTGCATTTCACAATTAATTGCAAAAAGTGGTAAAAGCTATAATATTGGAGAAACAGTAATAATACCCTCTACAAAAGAATTTATTTCAACAGTAATGCATCAGGATATACCTGAAAATTTAAAAACGTTGCCCCTAAGCGATAGCACAGTAAAGCGACGAATTGATGAAATGGCAGTTAATGTTGAAAAAAACCTGATAAGTATTCTCCAAAATATTTCATTTTCTATGCAATTGGACGAGTCTACCACTGCAGATAATAATGCTTAATTGATGACATATGTATGTTATTTTGATGAAAACAATACATAACAAGAAGAAATGCTATTCGCAATAAATCTCATTACAGATACAAGAGGATTATCTATATTTAATACTGTGAAATCATACTTTACAAAAAATAATATTCCTTTGAATAATATTGTTGCACGTGCTACTGATGGAGCACCATCAATGGTAGGTTGTTATCGTGGATTTGTTGCTTATTTGAAGGAAGAAGTGCCAAATGTTTTATGTATTCATTGTGTGGTGCACAGACAACATCTTGTAGGAAAACATCTAAGTACAACTCTCCATTCATCATTAACTATAATAATTCGAGCCATAAACAAGATCAAATCCAAACCAAAAAATGATAGAATGTTTCGACAACTTTGCCAGGACAATAATGAAGATTTTATTACGTTACTTTTGCACACAGAAGTTCGGTGGCTGTCAAAGGGTACATCTTTAGCATTATATGATAGTGTCATACAATTTTTGGAAAGTAATAATGAGACCAATCTGTGTCAACAGTTAAAAACAGTAAAGAATGATGCCTTTTATTTGGCAGATATTTTCAAGAGGTTTCATGATGTCAATTTGCAGCTTCAAGGAGCTAATAAGACTCTTATAGGTTGCCAAAGTATTGTGTCATTATTTATTGACAAACTTGAACTACTTCGTTATAATCTATTGAAGAGAAAATTTCATCAGTTTCCTGAATTATCATCTATAAAAGATGATGTAACTCCAGAGATATTGACAGAGTCAGTAGCCACCTCAACGAACTTAAATTGGACATGGAAAAACGATTTGAAGATATTTTGAAATTGAAGGTGTATGACTGGATGAAAAATCCTTTTACCGCAAATATTGAAGAGGCTGATATAACTTGCCAAGAAGAACTGTTAGAAATTAGATATGATGAAGAAAGTAAACATAAATTCGATAGTGGTGGATATGAAAACCTATGGCAAAGTAAAAAAATGCCTGCCTTATATCCAAATATGTGGAAAATGATATTCAGTTTATTGATACCTTTCCCCTGCCTCCTATCTTGTAGAATCAGGCTTTAGTGCTGTTAATCATATTATGACCAAAGAAAGAAACCGGCTGAATATTTCCGAAAGAGGAAACCTTCGTTTGTTCTTTACAAAAATTGTGCCAGATATCCAGTATTTAGTTTCGCAGCATCAGCCTCAGGGATCTCATTACTAATTTAATTAATTAAATGTAATTTCATCAGAGTTCCTGTTTCTATAGTGGGGCAAAAAGGTATTTAGTCAGCCACCAATTGTGCAAGTTCTCCCACTTAAAAAGATGAGAGAGGCCTGTAATTGTCATCATAGGTAGACCTCAACTATGAGAGACAAAATGAGAAAACAAATCCAGACAATCACATTGTCTGATTTGGAAAGAATTTATTTGCAAATTATGGTGGAAAATAAGTATGTGGTCACCTACAAACAAGCAAGATTTCTGGCTCTCACAGACCTGTAACTTCTTCTTTAAGAGGCTCCTCTGTCCTCCACTCATTACCTGTATTAATGGCACCTGTTTGAACTTGTTATCAGTATAAAAGACACCTGTCCACAACCTCAAACAGTCACACTCCAAACTCCACTATGGTGAAGACCAAAGAGCTGTCGAAGGACACCAGAAACAAAATTGTAGACCTGCATCAGGCTGGGAAGACTGAATCTGCAATAGGCAAGCAGCTTGGTGTGAAGAAATCAACTGTGGGAGCAATAATTAGAAAATGGAAGACATACAAGACCACTGATAATCTCCCTCGATATGGGGCTTCACACAAGATCTCACCCCGTGGGGTCAACATGATCACAAGAACGGTGAGCAAAAATCCCAGAACCACACGGGGGGGCCTAGTGAATGACCTGCAAGAGAGCTGCGACCAACGTAACAAAGACAACCATCAGTAACACACTACGCCGCTAGGGACTCAGATCCTGCAGTGCCAGATGTGTTCCCCTGCTTAAGCCAGTACATGTCCGGGCCCATCTGAAATTTGCTAGAGAGCATTTGGATGATCCAGAAGAGGATTGGGAGAATGTCATATGGTCAGATGAAACCAAAGTAGAACTGTTTGGTAGAAACACAACTCGTCGTGTTTGGTAAGTAATTATTATTACTATTTTTTATTAATTTTTTTTTTAATTTTACAATAAAAACCCCCTTCCCCAATCCCTCCCAACCCACCCCAAAACCCTCCCCCGTTCTTCCCAGAGCTGAATACAGGCTTAACTAGATCTTAAAAGAAAAAAAGTTTTAAACCCAAATAAACCTTAAGCAAATATAATTACACACAATAAACAAATTGTAAAATACTTTAACTCCATTATATATAAGAAACAAAAAGAGGAAAAACAAAAAAGAAAATAAAAAGAAATTAAAAAAAATAAAAAATTAAAGAATAATAACAATTACACTTCTAAATAATATCTTAAACTTATATAAATTATTCAAAAGCTAGATAATATTTTCTTATATCATACTTATATTGTATAAAATTTATCCATCTTTTCCACACCGAAAGATACTTCTCTTGCGATTGATCTTTCAAGAAAGCCGAAATTTTTGCCATTTCCGCTAAGTAGGAAACTTTAAAAAACCATTCTTGCAAAGTAGGCAAAAATTCCTTCTTCCAATATTGCCCTATTAACAACCTAGCCGCAGTAATTAAATTTAACATTAAAATAATCTCTTTATCATCACAATCAGAAACAATACCCAACAAAAACAATTGTGGAGTAAATTTTATCCTTCTTTTAAAAATTCTTTGAATATTCCACCATATCTTAATCCAAAAAGCTTTAATACTTTTACATGACCACCAAATATGATAAGCAACCACATCTCCAACATTTAGGCTGCAGGTTTGGATACATACGAGACATTTTTTGTGGATCAAGGTGCCATCTATAAAACATTTTATAAAAGTTTTCCCGTAAGTTTTGGGCTTGCGTGAATTTAACATTCCTCACCCAAATAATCTCCCAAGTATCTAATAAAATTGGTTCATCAAAATTTTGTGCCCACTTAACCATACAATCTTTAACTAGCTCTGCTTCTGAGTCCAGTTCCACCAAGACACCATCAATTCTTTTAATATGGGTTTGACTTTGATCTCTAATTTGTTTTAACAAAGTCTCATCCTCTCTAAGCAAGCCCACCTTATAATCTATCTTCCACCTTTCCAATAATTGTCTATACTGAAACCATGAATAAATAATATTTTCTTGTACTAATTCATCCATAGATTTTAATTGCCAATTTTTACCATCCCACTTAAGTAATTGTGTATAAGAAGTAATATCCATCTTAACTCCTCTCCTTATTCCTTCTATTGCATGCCATGGAATAGCCCATAATGGAATTCTTGAATCACTTCTATAGTATTTCTTCCAAACCCAAAGTAAAGAAATTCTTAAGATATGAGATCTAAAGACCCTATCAACCTTTTTATTATAAATTAAATAGGCATGCCATCCAAAAAGTAAATCCCATCCCTCCAACCCTGTACTCAGCTCTGGGAAGTGGGGGAGGGAGAGGGGGGGTTCGGGTGGGTGGGCTTTGGGGTGTATACTGTAATTTTTATAAAACTTTTCAATAAAAAAAAGAAAAGGTTTCATGTTCTCACAGTCTTTAGCGGAATTGTAGAAATTTCATTTCTCCATCTAATCCAGTTCTTTCTCTTGTCGTCTGCTGTCTCCTGGTTTTGCCACGCCCACCTTCCAGAAGCCCCAAAGGTGATTTTTCAAGAGGCAGCTGGACTTTCACAACAAAGTCCAGTTGCCTCTTGAAAAAGCACCTTTGGGACAACCGTGACCTGGATGACTGAAAACCTCCATGGACATCCATTATCCAGAACTTTTTTCCCTCATTATTGTTATTTAATGGGGAACCCCAAATATTCTCAGAGAGTCTACTTCTAAATAGTTTGGTGTGAGCTCTAACCATCTCCCAATCTTAATTCCAACAGGATCTGAATGGAAAAGTGTAACAGAGGGGCAACTATGTGGGAATTTCTCTGAAGAAACTGAGCAGGAACCCTTTGAAGAGAAAGTCTGGAACCGAATTCAACCCTCACACCAAGAAGGAAGCCAACAAGAAGAATGGATCGATAAACCCCTTCCTTGTTCCGTTGGAGAGTTCCATCAAATCTCACTGCAGCAAAAAAAAAAAAAAAAAAAACCAGGAAGGAGAGGAAAGAAATGGATGTCTCAGTGATCCCTGGGAAATATCTGCCGAGATTGAATCCCAGAAAAGTATTTTGGGGAAGAACACCAGAGACAGGGAAATACTTTATAAAGAAGAGAGTTCATATGCATTTCTGGAAAACCAAGAGAAGTTTCTAGTTCCTTTATTCCTCCATCGTATCAGGCTGTCCATGCTGATGGACAACATCAACCCTCCGATTTCAGCAAAAGCTTTCATGGTCCATCCAACCTGCTGACACCGCCGAGAATCCCTAAAGTGGAGAAGTTGTATAAATGCTTGGAATGCGGGAAGTCCTTCAGTCGCAGCGCCCATCTGATGTCCCACCAGATCATCCACACCGGAGAAAAGCCGTATACGTGTTTAGAGTGTGGGAAGAGCTTCGTTCAGAGCGCCCACCTCGCCTCCCATCAAATTATCCACACAGGGGAGAAGCCGTACCAGTGCTCGGAATGCGGGAAAAGTTTCAACAAGAGCACCAACTTCGTGAGGCATCAGAAGATCCACAAAGGAGAGAAGCCGCATCAGTGCGCCGATTGCAACAAGACTTTTTCTGACAAACCGAGTCTCATTCAGCACCAAAGGGTTCACACGGGGGAGAGGCCATACAAATGTTACGAGTGTGGGAAGAGTTTCAGTCATAGGGGCAGCCTCAATGCGCATCAGCGGATGCACACGGGGGAGAAGCCGTACGGCTGCAAGGACTGTGGGAAGAGCTTTCGGGATCAGTCCAGCCTTATTAGACATAAGAGAACCCACACCGGGGAGAAACCCTACACCTGCTCCGAGTGTGGGAAAAGCTTCAGCCAGAGCACAAACCTGACTTTGCATCAAAGGGTGCACACCGACGGGAAGCTTCCAGAAGAGTCTCCCCAAATACTTAACACAGGGATGGCCATGTTAGTCTTTCCACCAAATCCTGCAAATGATTTAGTGGCACTTGAAAGCTAACATTTAGTGGTACTTGGCTCAATAGTACTAACTGTGAGAGGGATTGTCCTGGTGGACAATCATTTAAATATGAGCCAGCAGTGTGCTGCAGCCGCCAACCAAGCCAACACAATTCTAGGCTGCCTTAATAGAGGGATAGAATCAATATCATGTGAAGTGTTAATAAGGGTTTACAATGCCTTGGTAAGACCACACTTGGAATACTGCATCCAGTTTTGGTTGCCACGGTACAAAAAGACGTTGAGATTCTAGAAAGAGTGCAGAGAAGAGCAACAAAGATGATTAGGGGACTGGAGGTTAAAACATATGAAGAACAGTTGCAGGAATTGGGTATGTCTAGTTTAATGAAAATAAGGACTAGGGGTGACATGATAGCAGTGTGTCAACAGCCAGCTCGAGAATCCAAATAAAGCTCCAGCTTCATTCTGTTTCCAAAAATCTTACTGTTTATTAAGTTGATTGATTTTGCTGAAACAAAACTAACTCTGAGGTTCTAACACCAATTCATAGACTTAAACAATAATTTTCCCAGCCAAACCCCCAATGTCTTACGTAGTCCGTATAAACAAGTTGTGTTTGTTATGGGAACTGTCTGCTTCAAATCCACACCTGTTCTGGTGTCCTTGAAAAGGTTTCAGGTTCTCACAGTCTTCAGCGGAATTGTACAAATTTCATTTTCCCATCTAATCCACTGGAAAGTAAGACTCCCTCCCCCCTTACTCTAAAGGCAAGTTGAAATGCAGAGGAACATAGCTGTCAAAGTTTCATCCTTGAGACAGTGTTCCATTATTTGAGGGGCTGCCACAAAGAAGAGGGGGTAAACCTATTTTCCAAAGCACCAGAAGGCAGGACAAGAAGCAATGGATAGAAACTAACAAGCAGAGAAGCAACCTAGAACTAAGGAGAAATTTCCTGAAAGTCAGAACAAATTAATCAATGGAATAGCTTGCTTCCAGAAGTTTAATGGGAGTGCTCCATCACTGGAGGTTTTCAAGAAGAGATTGGACAACCATTTGTCAGGAATGTTATAGGGCCCCTTGTTTCTATAGAGGGTTGGACTAGAAGACCTCCAAGATCTCTTCCGTTATTGTCTTCTGTAAATCCATGTGGCCAGCTTGCACTCCTGCAGGCAATGCTTTCACTGACTTTGCTGGGGCCCTGTCACCACTGTTGTGACTGCTCTTCTCTGCCTGCTGATTTGAAGAATGCCGAGATTGGACTCTCCAGTTCTCTCCCACAGGCCATCTTGCAACAGGTGTGGCAACCAGAGAAGACACAAGAGAATGCCAGAGTAGCTTCCAAAGGTGGGGGGGGCAAGGAAACCATGATCCTCCCCAGGGCACAGCTCAGCCCCCTCCCCGAGGGCCACCATCAGCATTCCCAGCTCTTTTTTTCTTCCCTTCCTTCTTCCCCAATCACCTTTCCACTTTATGAATTTCTATTTGCGTATATAGGTATTCCCCGACTTACAGCAGTTTGCTTAGTGACCGTTCAAAGTTACAACAGCACTGAAAAAAGTAACTTACGTCTGATTTACACCCCCTGTCATGGTTCCGACAGATGACACTCTTCAAAAGAACTTTGAGGCATTGTTTACCTTAAAGGATCTTTTATTCGAGTAGCATAATACCGGCACTTACATAATCGAAGCCAAAAACTGAATTCCCCCCCCCCGGCACATAGTATCAAAGCACAATTCCCTCCCTCGTCCAATTAACAGTCATAAATCACATTCCCCAATTAGCTTGAAGTGTGGGGTTCTTCTCCAGCTCTCCAGCCTGCCAATTCTTTATCAGCTCTGGCTCAATAACCTTGATTCTCACGCTACGTTTTAGTGTTGTTATGTCTAGCTGGACTCTGGAATCTGAAACAAAAAAAGCATTGTTGGTAAAACTTTCTGTCAGACCCAGCGCACCACCCACCCTCCAGTAGCCCCGTTACCGGCTCACACAATGGCAACATTGGAGAGGCCCCAACAGCTGATCCGGTGGGTCCGCGTTTCGCGCCGCCATTGCAACCACGGAGATGGGCAACCGGGATTCCTAGAGTGGCAGCTCCGTGTTTCGCACTGCTATTGCAACCACCGAGATGGGAAACCGGGATTCCTAGAGCGGCAGCTGATGAGCCCATGTGACTAGCTAGGATGGCTAGTAATTGATATACTTAGATGGCTAGTAACAACAGCACAGACGAAACGCGGTGAACGGAGGGGAGGCTTCTTCGTACTTATGTTTTTTGGACTTCCAAGTGTCGCTGGGTCTGTCATTAGTGGACGTTGGAGCAGAGGACTGGACGGTAAAGCAGAGTGTTGCCGGCTTTGTTCATTTCACTTCTATGTGTGGGGCGTGGACTGGGGCAGGAGAGCACAGCATTGTTAATTAAGTTATTGGTGGGGTGTGGGTTATCAACTGGGGTTGGGCTAGGCGAGGGTGGAGTATGGTCATGGGTGGTAATTGGGGTGTGTGCTCTGGGCGTGGTAGGTGGCTGTATTTAAGGCACTGGAAGGAGGTTACTTCCAGTGCTAACTTAATGTCAACACAGTGCATTAAACTTGTTGATTGTTCAATGTTCCTGTTTCTTGGCTTTTGTGAAGCACTACCAGGACGTTCTTGCAGTAAGTTAGATGGGCCTTATCCACCTGGCGCCATTTACTGGAGTGGGCACAACATCTCTTTGAAGTGTGGACAGACCACCAGAATCTAGCAGTTCTACAAACGCCTGGGCGGTTGTCTCCTAAACACGTGCGTTGGGTGCAATATTTCCAACGTTTCCGATTCCAACTTAAAGTCGTTCCAGGGGGGAGAAATTTCCTAGCGGATGCCCTCTCTCGCCTACCGCAATATGATAGTACGAGGGAGGAGGTGGTCCAGGCCATTATGCCCCCTTATAGCGTCGGAGATCTGCATGTAGATTCCTGCGCGAAAACGACATCGTTTGAGGATGAGGTGAGAACAGCTTTATTACAAGATCCTTGGTTGTTGAATAATCCCGGGTTACTTACAAACCGGAATGGTTTAGCATGGTATGGCAATAGACTATATATTCCCCAGGGATTACGAGATTGCGTTTATCACCGTTGTCATGATGCTAAATTAGCCGGCCATTTCGGTTTCCTGAAGACGTTACACCTAGCCAGACGTCAATTTTGGTGGCCTGGAATGAGAAGAGACATTGAAACTTATGTGAAGGGCTGTCACATCTGTGCACAATCAAAGGTAGTACCCAAAAAACCAGTGGGACTGTTACAACCAGTATCTGATCCAAATCAGCCATGGCAGGACATTGGAATGGATTTTATAGTTGACTTACCGGAGGTACAGGGTTACACCATTATATGGACAGTGGTTGACTTGTTTTCAAAACAAGCCCATTTCATACCCTGTAAGGGATTGCCGTTGGCAAGAAGACTGGCCAGAATGTTTTTAACACATATTTATCGTTTGCATGGGGCACCTCGTCAAATTATTTCGGACCGTGGCGTACAATTTACGGCTCAATTCTGGCGTCAGTTCCTTCGATTCATTGGTACTGCTCAAGGTCTCAGCTCTGCGTATCATCCCAGTACCAACGGGGCAGTGGAGTGGGCCAATGCTGCTGTCGAGCGATATCTGAGGAGCTACGTATCCTATCAACAGTCGAATTGGGTGGAATTGGTGCCATTAGCGGAAGTCGCATATAATAACGCAGTACATAAGAGCACCGGCCTCACACCATTTCAGGTGGTGTATGGACGCGACTTTGTCCTGATGCCAGAGTGTGGGTCCCAGGAATCCCAGCCTCGTCACCCCAATGAATGGTTTAACCACGTAGGTGAGGTATGGGGTACAGTGAAAAAGGCCCTGATAAAAGCAGAACAAGCAACTAAACACCAGGCGGATAAAACTCGTAGCTTACAGGTTCAGTTTTGGGTGGGGGATCTAGTGTATTTATCGACTAAATATATAAAGTTGCAGGTGCCGTGCAAAAAACTAGCACCAAAGTACATCGGACCCTTCCGCATAGTCCAGATTATTAATCCGGTGACGGTGAAGCTTCATTTACCGAGTTTGCATGATAAGGTGCATCCAGTCTTTCACGTAAGCTTGTTGAAACCTGTAAGGGAGAAACCCCAAGAACAAACCCCAGGGCCCATCACCCCAGGGCGGTATGAAGTACAAGATATCCTGGATTCGCAGGTGAAGGGGGGTAAACTTTATTATCTAATCTTATGGAAGGGATATCCCCTGTCCGATGCCTCCTGGGTGTGGAAGGGGGATGTCTTTGCTCCCGACCTGATTCGTAGATACCATAGGAAATTTCCACGCAAACCTGGGGAGGGGCCGAATAACTCTTCATGTGCATGACAAAAGGCCTTACTCATCTTAGTATGCTTTCTTCCAGGGGGACATGTGGTGAGGGGGGCCGAATATCAGACCCAGCGCACCACCCACCCTCCAGTGGCCCCGTTACCGGCTCACACAATGGCAACATTGGAGAGGCCCCAACAGCTGATCCGGCGGGTCCGCGTTTCGCGCCGCCATTGCAACCACCGAGATGGGCAACCGGGATTCCTAGAGCAGCAGCTCCGTGTTTCGCACTGCTATTGCAACCACCGAGATGGGAAACCGGGATTCCTAGAGCGGCAGCTGATGAGCCCATGTGACCAGCTAGGATGGCTAGTAATTGATATACTTAGATGGCTAGTAACAACAGCACGGACGAAACGTGGCGAACGGAGGGGAGGCTGCATCGTACTTATGTTTATTGGACTTCCAAGTGTCGCTGGGTCTGTCATTAGTGGACGTTGGAGCAGAGGACTGGACGGTAAAGCAGAGTGTTTCCGGCTTTGTTCATTTCACTTCTATGTGTGGGGCGTGGACTGGGGCAGGAGAGCGCAGCATTGTTAATTAGGTTATTGGTGGGGTGTGGGTTATCAACTGGGGTTGGGCTAGGCGAGGGTGGAGTATGGTCACGGGTGGTAATTGGGGGGTGCGCTCTGGGCGTGGTAGGTGGCTGTATTTAAGGCACTGGAAGCAGGTTCACTGGAAGTTAGCTTCCAGTGCTAACTTTATGTCAACACAGTGCATTAAACTTGTTGACTGTTCAACATTCCTGTTTCTTGGCTTTTGTGAAGCACTACCAGGACGTTCTTACACTTTCATCTTAATTACAGAGATTCTACCTGTTGTGTCCTGAGCCTGCTGAAGCATTCAGCAGGCTCAGCAATGTTGCAAATGGTCCCGGGCAGACCAAAAGCTGCCTGGGACCAGACTGGCTGTCGGCAGCCTTGCACGCATGCGCAAGGCGCGAAAACAGCCAGCTTCCTATTGGCTGACACTGTCTGGGTTCAGGACTCTATAAATGGCCTGCGTGCCATTTTGCTGTTGCTGGTTGTAAGAAGAGATCAATAAAGAAGCTTGTTTGTTCACCATGTGTCTTTGCTTAATACCTCAACCTTGCAAACATAAAACTACCCGATAGTGATTGTTGCAATTTCCCCATCTACAAATGTCCCATTATTAAGGAAGGGCAAAGAACTGCATTTCAGGGCTCTGGATTGGAAGGGACCTTGGAGATCTTCTAGTCCAACCCCCTGCTCAGGCAGGAAACCCTATATTGGGGTCCCCAGTCCCTGGATTGTGGCCTACTATTGGGCTGTGGCCTATTCGCAACCGAGCTACGTGAGCGGCCAGCCATTGTGTGTGTGCAACTTGCACAAGTGGGCTTGCATGCATGGGCATATACAGGTCAACTTACAATCAAGCTGTGTGTGCCAGCCCGCTACTTGTACAAGTCAAGCTGCATGCATGTAGCCCTGTTTTCCCCTCCCCCCAAGCTTCCCTATACCATTTCAGACAAATAATTGTCCAATCGGGAGGCAGATTGTTCCACTGGTTAATTGTTCTAATTGTCAAGAAGTTTCTCCTTAGTTGTAGGTTGCTTCTCTCCTTGGTTAGTTTCCATCCGTTGCTTCTTGTCCTGCCCTAAGGCACTTTGGAGAATAGCTTGACTCCCTTTTCTTTGTGGCAGCCCCTGAGATATTGGAACACTGCTATGACGGCGATTTTAGACAATTTTAGTTGAACTGATCTGCCTCTGACCAGCAGAAGCAAAAATACCAAATTACAACTCAAATGGCAAAATCCACTCGGCATTAAACCTTGTTGAGGCTGTTGTCATCTCAAAATCTGTGTAAAGTCATTTTTCTGTGTCAGGGAACGTGGTGCCCAGAAGCTCACTCAGATTACAGTGTGCCTCTGAAAGCCATAATTAAGGAATACAGATAAATGAACCTCCTCATTTAATCTGTGGGGTGATCATAAAGTAAACTCAACCGATCTTGGATGATGTAACCCTCAAGAGAAAGACTTTTGAAAGAGATCTGTTTGTTCAGAACTTGTTGGTCCAGTTAAATAGTGAATAAAAAAAATGATCAGTTGACTGATCATACCTGTTGAAATGGTATAAGAGAAGGCATCGTGGTGTACGTGTCACCTATTGTTAAAAGAACTACAGGGCAATATAGAGCTCACGGACCAAGAAGAAAGCAAATTAAGCTTTAAGACAATTTTCTTTGGCCAGATAGGGGAAAAGAAATCCCATCTCTGATCTCAGGACCTTTCCACCATGGAAACGATATTGGGCCAAACCCTGTGGATGTTGGTATTTTACTTTTGCATTTCAATCACGTTGTTATTCCTCGGGTGGATCCTTTACTTTAATATCATCGGCATGCATATCCCGCCAGGAATCAGCCAGGGGAGAAAACTGCGCCTTCTCTATTTGTTTGTAAGAATTCTTTTCGGACTGGTAAGTCTCTGCCTTTGGACTCTAGCTTTGCTTTCAGTTGGTTCGGCTGAATGGCACAGTCCTACACTTGGTGTACCTGAGGATGCACAAGCAAGCTCAGAGAGCACCAAGGACCCCTCCTTTCAACCCTGAGCTCCAAATATTCTCTTTTATTAGAACTCACTCTGGATAGCATCTAAACCAGTGGTTCTCAACGTTTGTGTGACGGCGACCCCCATCACACAAACGTGCCGTGCATGCGCAGCGCGCATGCGCGGTGGCGCCCCATGCGCTGTGCGGCGGCGCCCCCATGCGCGGTGCGCATGCACGGCGGCGCCCCCTGAGGGGGGAAAATGGCAGATCGCCTTCTTTGGTGACCCCCGTAAAATGGACGATCGACCCCAAATGGGGTCGCCACCCATAGGTTGAGAACCGGTGATCTAAACAGATCCTTTGTGTGTTATTCTTTGGTTTCTTTCTTGTCTTTCCCCTGTGCAGGCCAGGATTCTGGATAAACTTGGCATCTGCCATGAATTTTTCATATGGAGGCTCCTTTGGAATGGAATACATCCCAGGAAACCATCTGACTTGATTGTCAAGGAAATGCTTTTTGACAGAGTGCCGGTGATGGTCTGTTGTCCCAAAAGAGCAAGTCCAGAGAACAGACGAGGACTTGTCTGGATCCACGGAGGAGCAGGCTTGTTTGGAAGCCCCCGTAGGTTTTCCAAATAATTGTTTGATTGATATGAAAGAAGGACGGACAAATGTTTGGCTTAAGGCAGTGATGGCGAACCTATGGCACGCGTGCCAGAGGCGGCACTTAGCGCCCTCTCTGTGGCACACTTGCCGCCATCGTCAGCTTGCATAGGTCCATTAGGCCGCCGCTGGCACCCAGAGCGGCAACCCCACCCAGCACAAAGGAGGTGAAGCAGCTGGCTAGCAAGCTCAAGTAGAGGTGGTAGAGCACGCCCCCATGCGTCGCTGGCCTGTGTGCGGGGGCTGATGGTATCAGGCAGCAGCCGCCCCTGTCTCGCCTTGCCCTGCAGCAATGGCACCCCCGCCCTACCCCTGCCTCACCCCTCAGGACGAACCTCCTGCCAACGCCACATCCACCAGAGACCCCCTGGATCTCCCCCAATTCTGCCAGCCCCCACAGGCATCCCCCCACAAGCAACATCAAAATGGCCACACCCACCCCAGCCATGCCCACTCAATCTGCCATGACCACAGCAACCACACCCACCCAGTGGGCTACGCCTACCCCCAATGCGGCCTTGGCACTTTGTGATGAATAAGTCGGTTTTGGATTGTGGTTTGGGCACTCGGTCTCTAAAGGGTTCGCCATCCCTGGCCTAAGGGGTACCCTGATTCTTCTGCAGCATGCCAAGGACCAAAGGGGAAAAATGCATGTGCTCAGATAAAAACATACAAGTTAGGGGTGGGAGAAATGGGACATTCTCATCTGAACATCAATTCAAACAATTCTTTGTGATATTTCAGGATCCCACGAAAGGCTGTGCCACTTCATTGCCCGGCAAAGTGACACTGTGATCGCATGCATCGGGTAAGTGAGCTCAAGCTGACTTGTGTCACAGAAGGCACAAAAGCCAACTGCCATAACCTCTCTCTCTCTCTAGACCAGAGGTTCTCAAAGGGGTCGCCTAAGACCATCGGAAAACACATATTTCCGATGGTCATAGGAACCTAGACACCGCTCCTCTATCCATCTCCGCACAGCTTCGAACTGGGGACCGTTGCAGTGCCAGATTCGTTTCTGTCGAGCATCTCCTAAGGGAGGCTGCGCTGCTTCGCGGCCTTTTCTGTGGAGGAAGCTGAATTAAGCTCTGCCAGTGCTGTCACCCTCTTGGCTCTCTCTCTCTCGCTCTCTCTCTCGCTCTCTCTCCCCGTCTGGGCGCTTTTCCAACCAGGCTGGGCGAAGTCTAGTCCTAGACTTAGAACAGTTCATTTAGTGACTGTCCAAAGTTACAATATTTAAGAATACAGCCCCAAACCTCTTATGCAAACAGAATGCATCCTGTCAGTTGTAGGACAAATAACATGAGCAAGCATTTTATTTCCTCCCTGGATACAATTCCTGCAGCTGCAGAAAAAGCAGCAAAAATAGAAAAAAAGGAGAGGGAATGTGCATTTCATTAATGGAGAACAAAGCAACTGGGAGTAACTCAGACTTAAGAGGAAAATACTGAAATAGGCTCAAAATAAATAAAAATAAAAATAGTTGAGACTGAGCGAAGCAAACTGCCAGAAAGTGGATTTTACTACAGAAGCCAGACAGAGAAGTGATTCAGCAATGACTTCTGGACTAGCTAGTAAAAATCACCTAAATGCATGGTACAATTTATACTCTTTTTCCTATTTTAAGTTTTGATGAGATTTATAAGAAGTTTGTTCTTCTTAATTTCCTAGCTTGGTTTTTTTCCCTTTCAGCAGGATTGATTAATCCTATGACCCAGGGAAGGAAATAACTTGTTGATGAGGTTTTTGTGTATCTAGGTTAATCTTGTTGTAGGCGCTGGTGTGTCTGGGGTTAATCCTGTTATTGGTTTCTATGTGTATATAGGGCAGTGGTGGCGAACCTATGGCACGGGTGCCAGAGGCGGCACACAGAGCCCTCTCTGTGGGCATGCGTTCTATCGCCCGAGTCCTAGGCCTTCAGCTGGGTTTTATAAAACCTTTTCGCTTTAGGCCTCTGCTGCCATGTGCAAAAAAAAAAAAGGTTCAGTCAATTTCAGCTTCTTGCAGGAAAAAAAAAGATCTTGCAAAGTTGGAATTGCTTGATTGAACTTTTTAGTCCCACCCAGTCTTCCGTTACCACCGCAGCCACACCCAGCCAATGGGCCACACCCACCCGGCACTCAACGATGGATAAGTGGGTTTTGGGTTGCAGTTTGGGCACTCGGTCTCTAAAAGGTTCGCCATCACTGAGATAGGGCAAACCTGTCAGCTTTCTTTTGGTTTGTTCAAGGCTAGTGCTTATCACAGGTGGGGGAGGAAGAGAGAGGAGAGGAGAGGGGAGAGAGAAAGAGAGAGAGAGAGAGAGAGAGAGAGAGAGAGAGAGAGAGAGAGAGAGAGAGAGAGAGAGACTCTTCTCTGGTACTTTTGTTTTTTGGCTTGACTTTTCTAAGAGAGGGAAATGGATGTTTCTTTTGGAGCAGCCTTTCGTATTTGTAATAGTTGGTTTCTGGGCCTAGGCTTTCTACCTCTTTTCCTATTGTTCCTGCCTGTTTAATATTTCCCAAAGGTATTTCTTTTTCATGGGTATCTAGATGCTAACTTCTAATTATTGATTGAATCAATGATCCATCACAGCCATGGAGCAAGTTTCAGATTAACTCTGGAGTTCAGAGATCTCAAACCAGGAGTGGGGAACCTTGGCTCTTTGATGACTCGTGGACTTCAACTCCCAGAATTCCTGAGCCAGCCTGGCTCAGCTTGGAAACCTCTCCCTTTCCCCTCAGCATGGCTGCCTCAGGAATTCTGGGAGTTGAAGTCCACCAGTCATAAAAGAGCCCAGGTTGCCCTCCCCTGTCTTAAACGGTTGCTCCGCGGGGATTGCATCCCACGAGGGAAGCCGAGCGAGGGATTTCCTTTGGAAACAGGCCTTTGTAAGTCTAATCAGACAGGCTAAAGCTGACAGCTGCTCTTTGCTAAACTCTGCCCTGAGTCCTTCGGGATTGGGCGGCATATAAATATTAAAAATAAATAAATAAATAAATAAACTCCCCCCCCAAAAAAAGAGAAACCAGTGAAGGAGCCAAACTTTTTCCTTCAACCTTCTCCAGAGGAAAGAGGAACGCGACATCCGCCAGGCGTTTTTTCTCCAAAACTGCTGCGGAGTTTTGAAAAACTGCCAGGGCTGCTGCAACCCTACCCAGAACAAAGCGTCCCGTGCAGCCCAGCCTCATCCTGCACAGACACCGCGACACCCGGCCACTTACTTATCCAAGATGAAGTACAGATCGAAGCCCCGTAGCAGGCGGCGCCCCTCTCCTCTTGCTGCCTCCCTCGCCCATCCCAGGGGACCATCAGGGTGTTCAGAAAGGAGGGGAAAAGGCTGTCTGGAGGTGGGTTTTGGTTTTTTTTTTCACATTTCCCTTCTGCTCTGCTTTCTCTCTGGTCCGTTTTCAGGGCACCTCTGCCTTGCGCTTCCAGCGCAGTGCAGCCACTGTCAGCCAGGTGATTGACAATTTCTGGTTCCTGTTGCTTTGCTTTGCCCCAGATTTGAGGAACATGGAAGCCTCCTCCCTCCTCCTGGCCCCCTCCCCGCAAAGGAAAGAGCTGAAATCCAGGGCTGATCTTGGCGCTTCTGCTGAGCCCTGACAGCCCTGCAGCTCCAGCCGTCTCTCGTTCAGGCTTGTGCGGTGCTGCCGCCAGTTCAGCTCATTCCCCTCCCCCCACTACCACTTCTAGGATGGTCCCGTACCACCTGCCACAGGTGGTACGCGTTTCACCAGCTGAAAAGCCCTGTGCTGAAATACTGACAGCAATAAGGAACCAACAAGGATGCCGCGGGTTACTTCAGAGTAGTTTACAGAATTACAGCTAGTCTTTGACTTACAATCACAACTGAGCCCAAACTTTCTGTTGTTTTGTGAGACAGTTGTTAAGTGCCCCATTTTATGTCTTAACATAAAATGCCACAGTTGTTAACTGAATCCCACTGACTTTGCTTGTCAGAAGGTCACAAAATGGGATCACATGAGCCTGAGACACTGCAGCTGTCATAACTATCAGTTGCCAGGCGCCCTAATTTTGATCATGTGACCACAGGGATGCTGCAACGGTCATGTGAAAAACGGTCCTAAGTCACTTTTTTCAGTGATGTTGTAATTTTCAACAGTTATTAAATGAACTGTTGTAAGTCGAGGACTGCTTCTATTGGTTGTTGCATGCTGCCCAGTCTTTTTGGGGTGGGGCAGCTATAATATATTCATCTTCATAATAGGAATGCCAGTGCATTTGAAAGATTGTATTTTGACTGACTGTTGCTTCAGATACCCCTTGGCGCCAGAGCACCCCTATCCAGCTCAACAACTCAGCTGCTACACTGCCGTATCACATTTTCTGAAGAATGCGCAGGACTACGGGGTGGACCCGAAACGGATCGTGCTGGCTGGCGACAGCAGCGGAGGCACACTTGTTGCCAGCACTGCTCAGCAACTTCTGATGACAAAGGACCTGCCACAGCCCCGGGCCCACATACTAATCTATCCTTTCCTACAAGGCCTGGATTTAAATTTACCTTCTTACCAGCAAAACCAGTTTATTCCCCTCTTAGTCAAGAAAGAGGCTGTTCGTCTTGCCACAGTTTATCTGTCGGGAACTGATGCCGGGGTCAATGAAATTATGGCCAATGCTCATGTCCCGCAGGAACTCATGGCAAAGTATCAGAAATGGATCAGTGCGGAACATATTCCGGAGGAATTTAAAGGCCGGGGTTACGTGCCGTTTGTACCTGGTCCGTTTTCAGAAGATCTTTTCCAAAAATACAAAACAGTTTTCGACCCCATATTTTCCCCACTCCTGGCGGAAGATGCCGTCATCCAGCAGTTTCCAGAGACTTTCCTCTTAACCTGCGAATATGACATTTTCCGAGATGATGGCTTGCTCTATAAGAAGAGGCTGGAAGACAATGGTGTCCCTGTCACCTGGCTTCACCTCAAGGACGGATTCCATGGGATCACCTCGCTGATAGATATGGGGTCAATCCAGTTTCCAAGTACGAGGAAGAGTATGAATAGTGTAATCCAATTCCTAGAACGATTCTAGAAATCAAACAGCCTCGTTCCTCTTCCTTGTTCATCTAGCCCTTGCCTTACAGATCTGGATCTGAAGAGGTTATACCCTATAATTTCATTCATCTGTCCTGCTTAACTGACCTGAAGATGGTCCACCAACCCTTTGAAGAGACACATCCTTGCCCTCTCCAGCTCGTTCATAGCCCACCACTCAGGTAGCCTGGTGTCAGGCTGTGCAGGAAACGGTGGTTTTCCCTCTTACCCAAAAAAGAGAATTTCCCATATGACAGTCTAAGTGGCACCGAGGAACCATTGGGAGAGTGGCCAGACGTCTAACTTTTGCGCTCTCCTCCTCCCTATAGTCAGGACAGTGGTCTTTGGAATATCAAACTTGTGGAGAATGTTGAACATGACAGCACAAGGAAACAACAGCCCATCACCAGCCATCAACACCCCAATGAACCAATAGGAAGGCATCACATAATTGCGACTCACAGAATGGCCCAAAGTGCATATAGGTAGTCCTCGACTAACGATAACAATTGAGCCCAAAATTTCTGTTGCTAAGTGAATTTGCCTCATTTTACGGTCTTTCTTGTCAGAGTTGTTAAGTGAATCACTATAGTTGTTAAGTTAGTAACACGGTTGTTAAGTGAATCTGACTTCCCCATTGACAGAAGGCAGCAAAAAGTAATTACATGACCCCAGGACACTGCAACCATCATAAATATGAGTCAGTCGCCAAGTGTCGGAATTTTGATCATATGACTCTGGGGATACTGCAGCGGTCTTAAGTGTGAAAAACGGTTATAATCACTTTTTTCAGTGCCGCTGTAACTTTGAACAGTCACTAAACGAAGTGTTGCAAGTCAAGGACTACCTGTATTCCAGTAAAGAGAGGTTTCCTGAGGATGGGCTCCGGCACGGGTCTGAATGCTCAGAACAGTAAACCTCTGGTCCTGGTGACCGACCCAGATTGGATCTTGCAACGTTATCCTGGGAGATGTATATGTGCCTTCATTTGTCATGGAAAACCCAGTGCAGCTCTTTCAGGAACCATTATTCCCACAGGCAGACCAAAAAATGAACGAAAAAAGGGAATCAGCCCCCAAAAGCTCTGGAGGCCTATTGTGCTAGCCCCCCTCACCCGTTGGCATAGGTTCTGTTTCCTAACAGGACCTTGCCTTGAACCGTGCCTTCCTTTCCTCTGTCTCTGAAGAGGCATTTCTCTCCAACAAGACTAATGCAGTAAGATCTTAAGGGACCTCTCCTTGTTGACGCTTCCATCTCAACTCTTCCTGTATCCGCTTTCCTTGCTCCACCTTTGCTTTAGCTGCAGGTGGTCCCCGGTTGCTGAGCTTCTAGAATAGTGACAACTGACTTCATGTAAACCTTTTGAGCTTCAGTAAAGACTCAAGAAACAAATCCCAGTCTGTTTCATTTCTATTTCATTTCAGATTCATTTTTGCCCACTGCAAAGGGCAAGGAGAGAAAAGGGGAAGATGGCGCAGAGGTGTTGTAAAGGCATGGCTATGTTGACAGAATGGGGCGTGTTGGTCCGTGTCTGTGTGTGTGTTGGAAGGGCACGAACTAGCAAGTCCGTTCGGTGGGCCGAAGACTGCCAGCCCCTCATGAAACAGTGTGTGTGTGTGTGTGTGTGTGTGTGTGTGTGTCCCTCTCCTCAGCTCTTCTGCGATCAGGGACTGCAGGGAAAAATGTTAGGGAATTGGACAGCTGGTGTCCAAATGGAGGCAGAGATGCTGACACAAAACACATAGTTTTATATTAATAAACATATTAATAGTAAATAAGATAATCAGGCAAACAGCAGCATATCAGGTAAATCAACGTATTATGAGGTAAATTATAGAGGGCACTCAGAGGAAAAAAGGCGGGAAACAAAGAACCTCCCCCTTTTCACTCAAGGTAACCAATCAAAGCTTAGATTGCCTCATACAGTAGCCAGCCCTCTTCAACCAATCAGCTATAACTGTGTGTTCTGATTCATTGTCCAACCCTTCACTGCTCCTGCTATTAAATTAAATATCTTAAAAAAGAAGAGGAAAATGTGGAGAGGAAAGATGAACCAAGCCCCAGATTCGTCCTCAACCTGAATTAGGCAAAACAGCAACTGCCTCATCGGACAAGCCAGAATGGGTCTGTGAAAACCCAGGTAGTCCTCGACTTACAAATGCAATTGAGCCCAAAATTTCTGTTGCTCAGTTAGACAGTTGTTAAGTGAATTTTGCCCCATTTTACAACCTCTCTTGCTGTGTTTGTTAAATGAATCACTGCAGTTGTTAAGTTAGTAACACCGTTGTGAATCTAGTTTCCTCATTGACTTTGCTTGTCAGAAGTTCACAAGAGGTAATCACATGATTCCGGCACACTGCAACTGTCATAAATATGAACCATCCAAAGAAATATCTTGTCTAGTTTAATGAAGAGAAGGACTAGGTGTCACATGATAGCAGTGTTCCAATATTTCAGGGGTTTCCAGAGAGAAGAGGAAGTCAGTCTATTCTCCAAAGCACCAGAAGGCTGGACAAGAAACCATGGATGGAAACTAATCAAGGAGAGAAGCAACCTGGAACTAAGGAGAAACTTCCTGACAGTTAGAACAATTAATCAGTGGAACAACCTGCCTCCAGAAGCTGTGAATGCTCCAACACTGGAAGTTTTTAAGAAGAGACTGGACAGCCATTTATCTGAAATGGTATAAGGCAAAGGTCCCCAATCTTTTGGGCACCAGGGACTGGTTCCATGGAGAGAGGTTTTTCCATGGACTGGAGGGTGTGTGGTTTTGTGTGCTGCCTGCATCCCATGGATGGGCCGTTGCTTGTTTGTGTGGCCCAGTTGCTGGCATGCTGCAGCCTGGTACCGGTCCACAGACCGGGGGTTGGGGACCCCATATATAGGTTTGCTGCCTGAGCAGAGAGTTGGACTAGAAGACCTCCAAGGTCCCTTCCAACATTATCATTATCATCAGCAGCATCCAAATTTTGATCACATGACTGCGGGGATGACGTTATAACTTCAAACAGTCACTGAATGAACTGTTGTAGCTTGAGGACTACCTGCACTTGACTTTGCAGAAGAGTTTCCTTTAAGCCAAGCAGCCTTTCTCTCCTGGAATTCCCTAAAGTTGTTTTTAAGAGGGACAACAGGATGGCACCAGGAGGAGGAGACTTTGCCCCATGGTGGGGGGAAAGGGCCACTCCCAAAGGTTTCATGTAGAGCAAGGGTGTCAAACTCAATTTCATTGAGGGCCTCATCAGCATTATGGTTGCCCTCAAAGGGCCAGTTGCTGACTCCTTCTCTCCCTCAGGCTTCCTCCACAGAAGCCTCACTTATGCCATCCCCTTCTCTCCTTCAGGCTTGTCCCACCGACATCTCTCCTCCCTATTGCCTTCTCTGCTCTCTCACTCCTCCTTTCTACCCAAACCCCTCCTTTTTATATTCTCCTCTCCCCCATGCGTTCACTCACTGCCTGGCTGGCTTTTTCACACAGCACTCATTGACTGGAGCTGCATGTGCTGATTCTGGGGTTCCTGCCAAGCCACGGCAGCCTCACAGCTCCAGCTGACTCTTCCCCTGAAGACTGCGTGCAGCTGCCAGCCACCCCGAGGCAGTTGGAAGCCCCAATCAGCTGGAGCCACACGGGCCGATCCCAGGGCTTCAGCAGAGCCCCAGCAACACTGCAGCTCCAGCTGATTCTCCCCCGGGCCTCTCTGGTGCTGCTGCAGCTTCAGCTCACCCCCCTCCCACTACATACTCTATTCAGACTGTGAGTTAAAAACGCCTTCTTTAAATCAAGTCAGATAGATAACTCAGTAGAAATGGTTTCATAACAAAAAGAAATATATTTTGATCAGAAAGATTACAAAGATTACTTGCATTCATGCTGTGTTGTTACTTCTGGAAATTACATCTTTTGTCCATTCCTACAGGTAAAAGGATGATGCTCTCTTCCATACCATCTTTATAACGGCGCAGGCTCATTGGGTGACATCTGATAGCCCATGCTTCTTTCAGACAAAGACATTCCAATCTGGCTTGTGTCCAGGAAGTCTCCCAATGCCCTTTAGAAACTCCTTCCACTGACATACTGATACATGCTCTCTAGTCAGGGTTACATAGAGCTATACGAGGTTACATAGAGCTATATGGTTCAGAATACTCCCGGCTTGGAAATTTATATTTCCACTACTAACTAACTGAAATAGCAAAAAACATAGCATATTTTAGTTTATGAGTAAATTTTAGAGTATTATTACTATTAATAGTTTATTATAGTAGAATTTTTATTAGTTTTATTATTATCTTTAGTATTAGTATAGTTTAATAATTTGGATATTGTATTGTTTAATAATTAGGATATCGACTTGTTTATATTATTATGTTTATTTTTAATTTGTTTATACCTATGTTAAAGGGGAGTTAAAGCGCATTATGGACTTGGTTATTTATATAGTTCACAACAAAGTCCAGTTGCCTCTTGAAAAAGCACCTTTGGGGCAACCATGACCTGGATGACTGAAAACCTCCATGGACATCCATTATCCAGAACTTTTTTTCCTCATTATTGTTATTTAATGGGGAACCCCAAATATTCCCAGAGAGTCTACTTCTAAATAGTTTGGTGTGAGCTCTAACCATCTCCCAATCTTTATTCCAACAGGATCTGAATGGAAAAGTGAATCAGAGGGGAAACTATGTGGGAATTTCTCTGAAGAAATTGAGCAGGAACTCTTTGAAGAGAAAGTCTGGAACCGAATTCAACCCTCACACCAAGAAGGAAGCCAACAAGAAGAATGGATCGATAAACCCCTTCCTCGTTCCATTGGAGAGTTCCATCAAATCTCACTGCAGCAAAAAAAAAAAAGGAAGGAGAGGAAAGAAATGGATGTCTCAGTGATCACTGGGAAATATCTGCAGAGATTGAATCCCAGAAAGGTATTTTGGGGAAGAACTCCAGAGACAGGGAAATGCTTTCTGAAGGAGAGAGTTCATATACATTTCTGGAAAACCGAGAGAAGTTTCTAGTTTCTTTAATTCCTCCATCGTATCAGGCTGTCCATGCTGATGGACAACATCAACCCTCCGATTTCAGCAAAAGCTTTCATGGTCCATCCAACCTGCTGACACCGCCAAGAATCCCTAAAGTGGAGAAGTTGTATAAATGCTTGGAATGCGGGAAGTCCTTCAGTCGCAGCGCCCATCTGACGTCCCACGAGATCATCCACACTGGAGAAAAGCCATATACATGTTTAGAGTGTGGGAAGAGCTTCGTTCAGAGCGCCCACCTTGCCTGCCATCAAATTATCCACATGGGGAGAAGCCGTACCAGTGCTTGGAGTGCGGGAAAAGTTTCAACAAGAGCACCAACTTTGTGAGGCATCAGAAGATCCACAAAGGAGAGAAGCCGCATCAGTGCGCCGATTGCAACAAGACTTTTTCCGACAAACCGAGTCTCATTCAGCACCAAAGGGTTCACACGGGGGAGAGGCCCTACAAATGCTACGAGTGCGGGAAGAGCTTCAGTCACAGGGGCTGCCTCAATGCGCATCAGCGAATGCACATGGAGGAGAAGCCGTACGGCTGCACGGACTGTGGGAAGAGCTTTCGGGTTCAGTCCAGCCTTATTAGACATAAGAGAACCCACACTGGGGAGAAGCCCTACACCTGCTCCGAGTGTGGGAAAAGCTTCACCCAGAGCACAACCCTGACTTTGCATCAAAGGGTGCACACTGACGGGAAGCTTCCAGAAGAGTCTCCCCAAATGCTTAACACGGGGATGGCCGTGTTAGTCTTTCCACCAAATCCTGCAAATGGTTTAGTGGCGCTTGAAAGCTAACATTTAGTGGTACTTGGCTCAATAGTACTAACTGTGAGAGGGATTGTCCTAGTTGACAATCATTTAAATATGAGCAAGCAGTGTGCTGCAGCCGCCAACAAAGCCAACACAATTCTAGGCTGCCTTAATAGAGGGATAGAATCAAGATCATGTGAAGTGTTAATAAGGGTTTACAATGCCTTGGTAAGACGACACTTGGAATACTGCATCCAGTTTTGGTTGCCATGGTACAAAAAAGATTTTGAGATTCTAGAAAGAGTGCAGAGAAGAGCAACAAAGATGATTAGGGGACTGGAGGTTAAAACATATGAAGAACAGTTGCAGGAATTAGGTATGTCTAGTTTAATGAAAATAAGGACTAGGGGTGACATGATAGCAGTGTGTCAATATTCAGCTCGAGAATCCAAATAAAACTCCAAGTTCATTCTGTTTCCAAAAATCTTATTGTTTATTAAGTTGATTGATTTTGCTGAAACAAAACTAACTCTGAGGTTCTAACACCAATTCATAGCCTTAAGCAATAGTTTTCCCAGCCAAACCCCCAATGTCTTACGTAGTCCATATAAACAAGTTCTGTTTGTTATGGGAACTGTCTGCTTCAAATCCACACCTGTTCTTGTGTCCTTGAAAAGGTTTCAGGTTCTCAAAGTCTTCAGCGGAATTGTACAAATTTCATGTTTCCATCTAATCTACTGGAAAGTAAGACCCCCCCCCTCTTACTCTAAAGGCAAGTTGAAAGGCAGAGGAACATAGCTGCCAAAGTTTCATCCTTGAGACAGTGTTCCATTATTTGAGGGGCTGCCACAAAGAAGAGGGGGTAAATCTATTTTCCAAAGCACCAGAAGGCAGGACAAGAAGCAACGGATAGAAACTAAAAAGCAGAGAAGCAACCTAGAACTAAGGAGAAATTTCCTGACAGTCAGAACAAATTAATCAATGGAATAGCTTGCTTCCAGAAGTTTAGTGGGGGTGCTCCATCACTGGAGGTTTTCAAGAAGAGATTGGACAACCATTTGTCGGGAATGGTATAGCGCCCCTTGTTTCTATAGAGGGTTGGACTAGAAGACCTCCAAGGTCTCTTCCAACTCTGTTATTGTCTTCTGTAAATCCATGTGGCCAGCTTGCACTCCTGCAGGCAATGCTTTCACTGACTTTGCTGGGGCCTTGTCACCACTGTTGTGACTGCTCTTCTCTTCCTGCTGATTTGAAGAATGCCGAGATTGGACTCTCCAGTTCTCTCCCACAGGCCATTTTGCAACAGGTGTGGCAGCCAGAGAAGACACAAGGGAATGCCAGAGTAGCTTCCAAAGGGGGGGGCAAGGAAACCATGATCCTCCCCAGGGCACAGCTCAGCCCCCTCCCCAAGGGCCACCATCAGCATTCCCAGCTCTTTTTTTTCTTCCCTTCCTTTTTCCCCAATCACCTTTCCACTTTATGAATTTCTATTTGCGTATATAGGTATTCCCCGACTTACAGCAGTTTGCTTAGTGACCGTTCAAAGTTACAACAGCACTGAAAAAAGTAACTTACGTCTGATTTACACCCCCTGTCATGGTTCCGACAGATGACACTCTTCAAAAGAACTTTGAGGCCTTGTTTACCTTAAAGGATCTTTTATTCGAGTAGCATAATACCGGCACTTACATAATCGAAGCCAAAAACTGAATTCCCCCCCCCCCCCGGCACATAGTATCAAAGCACAATTCCCTCCCTCCTCCAATTAACAGTCATAAATCACATTCCCCAATTAGCTTGAAGTGTGGGGTTCTTCTCCAGCTCTCCAGCCCGCCAATTCTTTATCAGCTCTGGCTCAATAACCTTGATTTTCATGCTACGTTTTAGTGTTGTTATGTCTAGCTGGACTCTGGAATCTGAAACAAAAAAAGCATCATTGGTAAAACTTTCTGTCAGACCCAGCGCACCACCCACCCTCCAGTAGCCCCGTTACCGGCTCACACAATGGCAACATTGGAGAGGCCCCAACAGCTGATCCGGCGGGTCCGCGTTTTGCGCCGCCATTGCAACCACCGAGATGGGCAACCGGGATTCCTAGAGCGGCAGCTCCGTGTTTTGCACTGCTATTGCAACCACCGAGATGGGAAACCACGATTCCTAGAGCGGCAGCTGATGAGCCCACGTGACCAGCTAGGATGGCTAGTAATTGATATACTTAGATGGCTAGTAACAACAGCACGGACGAAACGCGGCGAACGGAGGGGAGGCTGCTTCGTACTTATGTTTATTGGACTTCCAAGTGTCGCTGGGTCTGTCATTAGTGGACGTTGGAGCAGAGGACTGGACGGTAAAGCAGAGTGTTGCCGGCTTTGTTCATTTCACTTCTATGTGTGGGGCGTGGACTGGGGCAGGAGAGCACAGCATTGTTAATTAAGTTATTGGTGGGGTGTGGGTTATCAACTGGGGTTGGGCTAGGCGAGGGTGGAGTATGGTCATGGGTGGTAATTGGGGTGTGTGCTCTGGGCGTGGTAGGTGGCTGTATTTAAGGCACTGGAAGGAGGTTACTTCCAGTGCTAACTTAATGTCAACACAGTGCATTAAACTTGTTGATTGTTCAATGTTCCTGTTTCTTGGCTTTTGTGAAGCACTACCAGGACGTTCTTGCAGTAAGTTAGATGGGCCTTATCCACCTGGCGCCATTTACTGGAGTGGGCACAACATCTCTTTGAAGTGTGGACAGACCACCAGAATCTAGCAGTTCTACAAACGCCTGGGCGGTTGTCTCCTAAACACGTGCGTTGGGTGCAATATTTCCAACGTTTCCGATTCCAACTTAAAGTCATTCCAGGGGGGAGAAATTTCCTAGCGGATGCCCTCTCTCGCCTACCGCAATATGATAGTACGAGGGAGGAGGTGGTCCAGGCCATTATGCCCCCTTATAGCGTCGGAGATCTGCATGTAGATTCCTGCGCGAAAACGACATCGTTTGAGGATGAGGTGAGAACAGCTTTATTACAAGATCCTTGGTTGTTGAATAATCCCGGGTTACTTACAAACCGGACTGGTTTAGCATGGTATGGCAATAGACTATATATTCCCCAGGGATTACGAGATCGCGTGTATCACCGTTGTCATGATGCTAAATTAGCCGGCCATTTCGGTTTCCTGAAGACGTTACACCTAGCCAGACGTCAATTTTGGTGGCCTGGAATGAGAAGAGACATTGAAACTTATGTGAAGGGCTGTCACATCTGTGCACAATCAAAGGTAGTACCCAAAAAACCAGTGGGACTGTTACAACCAGTATCTGATCCAAATCAGCCATGGCAGGACATTGGAATGGATTTTATAGTTGACTTACCGGAGGTACAGGGTTACACCATTATATGGACAGTGGTTGACTTGTTTTCAAAACAAGCCCATTTCATACGCTGTAAGGGATTGCCGTTGGCAAGAGGACTGGCCAGAATGTTTTGAACACATACTTATCGTTTGCATGGGGCACCTCGTCAAATTATTTCGGACCGTGGCGTACAATTTACGGCTCAATTCTGGCGTCAGTTCCTTCGATTCATTGGTACTGCTCAAGGTCTCAGCTCTGCGTATCATCCCAGTACCAACGGGGCAGTGGAGTGGGCCAATGCTGCTGTCGAGCGATATCTGAGGAGCTACGTATCCTATCAACAGTCGAATTGGGTGGAATTGGTGCCATTAGCGGACGTCGCATATAATAACGCAGTACATAAGAGCACCGGCCTCACACCATTTCAGGTGGTGTATGGACGCGACTTTGTCCCGATGCCAGAGTGTGGGTCCCAGGAATCCCAGCCTCGTCACCCCAATGAATGGTTTAACCACGTAGGTGAGGTATGGGGTACAGTGAAAAAGGCCCTGATAAAAGCAGAACAAGCAACTAAACACCAGGCGGATAAAACTCGTAGCTTACAGGTTCAGTTTTGGGTGGGGGATCTAGTGTATTTATCGACTAAATATATAAAGTTGCAGGTGCCGTGCAAAAAACTAGCACCAAAGTACATCGGATCCTTCCGCATAGTCCAGATTATTAATCCGGTGACGGTGAAGCTTCATTTACCGAGTTTGCATGATAAGGTGCATCCAGTCTTTCACGTAAGCTTGTTGAAACCTGTAAGGGAGAAACCCCAAGAACAAACCCCAGGGCCCATCACCCCAGGGCGGTATGAAGTACAAGATATCCTGGATTCGCAGGTGAAGGGGGGTAAACTTTATTATCTAATCTTATGGAAGGGATATCCCCTGTCCGATGCCTCCTGGGTGTGGAAGGGGGATGTCTTTGCTCCCGACCTGATTCGTAGATACCATAGGAAATTTCCACTCAAACCTGGGGAGGGGCCGAATAACTCTTCATGTGCATGACAAAAGGCCTTACTCATCTTAGTATGCTTTCTTCCAGGGGGACATGTGGTGAGGGGGGCCGAATATCAGACCCAGCGCACCACCCACCCTCCAGTGGCCCCGTTACCGGCTCACACAATGGCAACAGTGGAGAGGCCCCAACAGCTGATCCGGCGGGTCCGCGTTTCGCGCCGCCATTGCAACCACCGAGATGGGCAACCGGGATTCCTAGAGCAGCAGCTCCGTGTTTCGCACTGCTATTGCAACCACCGAGATGGGACACCGGGATTCCTAGAGCGGCAGCTGATGAGCCCATGTGACCAGCTAGGATGGCTAGTAATTGATATACTTAGATGACTAGTAACAACAGCACGGACGAAACGTGGCGAACGGAGGGGAGGCTGCATCGTACTTATGTTTATTGGACTTCCAAGTGTCGCTGGGTCTGTCATTAGTGGACGTTGGAGCAGAGGACTGGACGGTAAAGCAGAGTGTTTCCGGCTTTGTTCATTTCACTTCTATGTGTGGGGCGTGGACTGGGGCAGGAGAGCGCAGCAGTGTTAATTAGGTTATTGGTGGGGTGTGGGTTATCAACTGGGGTTGGGCTAGGCGAGGGTGGAGTATGGTCACGGGTGGTAATTGGGGGGTGCGCTCTGGGCGTGGTAGGTGGC